AAAAAAAAAAACCGCCCTTGTCTGAAATCGACCAATAGCGTGAAGGCAGCGTTTGTAAGCTGAGCGCTGATTGGACGAGGCGGCTTTGCCGTTTTAAAACGACCCGTGTGATTCGCTGTGGAGCCAGGGCGATCCCTAGACCTATTCGAGCAGTTATTTGCAGACGGCGTGGACTTTCTCAAGGGTATTCCTCCACAACGGGGCTTGCCCTGCAGCGGTCCACATCATTGCCTGTGATTACCTTTCTCTCGTGACTGAGTCATACTATTTAAGAGCTGAGACACACCGTGAGCCTGAAATACAGCCCATAAATCACTTCAAATTGTTGCGTTTCTGTTGGGCGGTGGTAATATGCTCCACATGCATGCATGTGCTGACTCAAAATGCGTGCAAAATCACTGTAAGCCCTGTCTAGTTGCTTTGTGAGGACGTTTTGTTGGTGATTCTTATATTCTATATATTTTTGCATGTCTTACTGTGTCAAATTAATGTCAACAATATTGCATTTGCCATCCACAATACGACTGTTTTCACTTTTCATGCCCATATGCTGTGGATTACAATGCCATGGCAACAACCAGAGCCACTGTCAGGGAAAGCCTTCCATCTGCCTGAATGTGTTTCCCTGCCATCATTTCCCCCTACATTTTTTAGGACAACTAAAACCCCGCACAAACCCCTTTTGTGATCTTTTTTATGGTGCTACAAATGAGCAAAAATCTTTGGTTCAAAGGGAAATACAGTGTTTAGTGTGATTCTTGTGCACACCGAGACAGAGCATCACACATTCAAATACATCTTTAAATTGTTAACACCAAAAGGAAATGGGTTTTCCATGTAAATCTGATTTTTGAAGCAGAAAATGAATTGAAATACGGATGATTTTATACCTTTATACCCTTTAATTCATAGTGTTGTCATCCCTTGTGTGCACACAACAGCATATATTTACCCCCACTGCTTTAGTTATTCCCTTGGGAAAATGACTTAGAAAATGTTTCAGGTAATTAATTTATTCCACGTCTTTTTCTGTCGCCCCGTGCACCTACAACAACACACTCGTGACATGCCTTGTTTGAAGCAGGTGTGTGTTTAAGGAGCTCCAGGATCAGTCCCAGGAGATGATCAGTCCCAGGAGATTTAGGATCTGCTAATTATCCAAAGGCTCACAGGTGCATTACCTGCTTACGACATCCTCACCTTGGCTCCAGTATTACTGATCCCTAATTGATTTACTCTCTAACAACACTGTGAGCATCACATGCGTCATTACCCTGGCATTCATTAGCCACGCAGCAATTTGACATCTATAGTTCAAGAAAAGGTAAGAAAAACAGCCAAACATAAGTGTGCAGAAAGTATTAATGTCCAGACGTGAATAGGTTTAACAGCTCATTAAAGCAACGCTTCGTTTCTTTTGACAAGTGATTCAGTTCAAATCAGTGTGATAAATTGCAAAATCCATTAGTTGCTGGTATAAAGAAACTATTGATATTGCTTTATAGTCAAATTTCAAACTAAGTTCTGGACATGAATTAGTATCACATGTGTTTTCTTGTTTTTCACCAGCCATTTGTCCTATTTCATATAAACAAACAGCCACTGTGTAGTTTGGTGTGGTTGTGTTCACACTGAACATGGAGCAGAGAAACCAGCTGTCTGAGGAGCTCAGAAAGATGATTATAGGTATCCATGTTGAAGATAAAGGCTAGAAGCTCCTCTCCAAGCAGCTTCATGCTCCTCTGACTACAGCTGCTTACATTGTTAAAAGCTAGAAGGTTCATGGGACTGTAGCCAACCTTCTAGGACGTGGATGCAAGAGTAAATGCAACCTCAGGTTGATCAAACAGGATGGAACTAGAGGCTCCATGTCTCATCAGTTGTGTATGCATTTTTTTATTTTTGTGGAAGTATGTCAACAAACTGATCAATGTCTTTACATTTTACTTTGCCAGTTTGTTGCAGAGTTTTTGCCATCGTTAGGTTAGATTAAAAAAACTAAACGTTCCAACGAATCACCAATAAAGGTTTGCATATGCTGCCATCTTGTGGACAAGATTTGTAATTACAAGTAACTTGCAGGAAAAAGAATATCTGATGTTAAGATATGTTTTATTGGTTTATTTTATGTAGCTGAAGCTTAATATTTCTTGTTTGCACCCACACTGTATATGACACAATGTGAGGTTACAAAACCAAATGCAACAGAGTAACTCCAGTCACACATGCAGTCATGAAACTCCTCTAAGACCTGCTTTCTTCCTGCCACTAGATGACTCCCTGTCACTGTGTAAAATGTGTTCAAGCTATACAGAAATTATGCCTGTAGATCAGCATCAAAAGTTATATTAATTACAAATTATAAAAGGAGAAAAGAACAATTTAATTTGTAGATTAAAATCCACCCATTTGTGAATTCAGCAAAAATAAAAGGGATGCTCCTTTGTTGACCCTGTTTTTTTTTTTTTCTAGGATCAACTAAAGGTAAATAAGGAGAAGTTCGCAGAAAGTTAAAATAAAATACCCTTAATAAAGAAAAGCTGAATATTTTATTTGTTGTAAAATCTTAATTTTTACCACTTGTTGCCATGCCTGCACAACTGTGTCCACCAGATTTACTGTATATGTAACAGTATATTTTAATTGACCTTCAAGTTTCTACTGCACAAAAAGAGAAATATCAAAGGTTTCTACATGTTTACAGAATCCCAAGTCTTATGTGCCTAATAAAGCCAGCTCCTGGTGATTTAAACATCCAGCTGCAATCAACTAAAACCACCCTAAAGTAAAAAAGGACAGCAATTCTTGAGCTTCAGAGGGTATGAGGTTGAAATAAGGCTGAGAGAAGCACTTGAATGCTGAGGAAGTCTTCTTACTTTCCCATAACCACGAGCCGCAGTGGCGCTTGTTAAAACCCTCTGACGTCTTTTTTTACGTCATGATATGGGAAGATGGTGTTACATAAATTTTCTTGTGGTGTTCTTGCTAAAGGAGTTCACGTTGCTTATAATAAAATGAGTAAATGGGTTTAACTATATAGAAAGAGTTGAGGCCTGTGTTATATTCAATGTGCAAATCAAGCTGCATAAATCTGGTTATTTCAGAAACAGTGTGGACTTCCACGCCTGCCTTGTTTCATTACAAATGGATTTTAAAAAGTTCAAGATATCAGGTTTTTAGTTTGTGCATGAATCTGATTTACTACTGGGCTATCCATAAAAACTGTGTAACGCAGTTCAAGCTTTTAGTTTAGGCAACATAAAATGTTCTGTGGATGTAAACGGTCAAATTTGTTGTTTTAGTGAATCTATTAAGTGCCTCTGTTAGTTAAGAAATTTGCATTTAAAGTAACAAATGTGGCAAATTAAGCATGAATCATTGATTTGTTACATGCTTTTTTTTGGCACATTTGACAGGTTTCTATGCTAATTAAATTAATATTAGTTGAAAGGATACATTTAATTTGCTGCGGCAGCCATCTTGAATTGACCTGAATCCAAAATCAGTCAAAATGTATGACATTTTCACCCACTATTTTAATCCTCCAAAGAATTCTTGTCTGTAACAATCAACACAAACTGTCTTCATAGCAGTGGGTGAAAATGATTTGAACGTTGCATCTTTTAAATTGTTGTTTTTTTATTTGATGTGGTGCATTTCTGTTTTGTTTTGTTGCTGCTGTTTAGTCCATAAAATACCATCAGCAATGTAAAAAAAAAAGTATTTTCATCTTGATAACAGCTGCTGATGTGTACAACTAAAGATGAAAGTTATATAATATACTTGTATAGCTTAGTTTGGATGTACTATAGTTGGTAACGACCCCAGATGTGTGTTTTAATACACGTTTATACAACAACACACAGATGTGAAAACAAAAGAAAATTATATACAATAAAATGTGATCTGCAGCCTGTTCATGATCTGCAAAAAAAAAGCTACAAAAAC